TTTCACACAACATATTAGACTCCATATTTTTATACAGATAAACAAACGTAAATGAGGTATACAAACAAAAAGAACTTATAGACCTCTAAAAAATACACTAATAAATACATACAAGAGGCTATGAATGACGTCATAGACACTGACACAGTAAACTTGAATGTGCAAACAGTACCAAGAAAGAATAATTACTCTCTCTCTCTCTCTCTCTCTCTCTCTCTCTCTCTCTCTCTCTCTCTCTCTATGTCTCTCTTGGCAATGCTAAACGAAACAGGAAAGTTGTTAATAGTATAGCAATCGAAGCGTTTAATAATAACTTTATTCAGGAAATGAATCTTTGAACTAAATGAATAATAATAAAAAAGTGTAAGAAAGTTAATCCTATTTCCGGGTGGCATATAAAATTAAAAACGTTGAAAGTCCTGGAAGTTGAATTCGATAAACACGCCTAGTTCTGTATATGTATATTGTTGCGAAATTATTCAAGTGTTAAATGCTTCAACGCGGGTACAAGCCCAGAATATTTTTAACTATTTAAAACTTGTTTCCTGTTAATGATGTTCCGCTTTGGCTAAAATCAAGAGTTCTCGAAACTTCGCTGGTTTATTTCTGGAATACAAGTAATCTTAAGGGGATAAGGAGTTTAAGTAAGCGCCGAGTGGTTTAACTTCCGGCAATCATGAACAACAACACGCAAGCTAAAAATTCCAAGACAAAACAGAAGTGAAGAAGAATTTTCACTTTCGTGTCCAGTAGAACAAGAGATGCCAGAGAAAGTAAAGATGACAGTGGTGTTCTCTCGCCCTCTCTTCGTCCTCACCATGAGTAAAAACATGTAACGTTCAGAAGATTACGACCATTTACAGATTATACGCTGGGCAATTGTTTAAAATTCTAGTAAAGCTGTTTTAATATTCTTTCAAAATTCTTGATATAGTTTGTTAAGTTATTTCGAGCCGTCAGACAATGCCTTCTCAGTTGTCAATTGATCATTCGACATTCCCTCGATAAACGTGAATTGCATGTGCCGTTTATCACCGCAAAAAGGGATGTACTGAATGTGTTTGCACGTGTTCATCAAACAGATCAAAGCTGAAAGGGATGCACTGAAAGAGAGGTTCTAACAACAACACGACAAAAGAAATGTTTAGACCATTTTGAGACAACGTTTAAATGTAATTTTGAAAAACCCACCAAACATGAAAAAAACGGGCCAGAGTACTGTTGAAAGGAGGCATAGAAAGGTCTTCACATAGATTGTCACTTCTTGACCCTTTGGTGACGGCCGGCGAGTAGCGAAAAAACCGCATTTTTCACCAATTCCTCTTCTTTGGACTAGTTTTCGGTTAATTAGCATAACAATGGCTAAAAATGAGTTTTGGAAGAAAAAAAGGCATATTTTCCGACTAAGCTGATGTAATCAAACAGCTTTTTGTTTTCCACGCATGCGCAAACGCCAAAATTTGGACTTATTTTTGGTTTTATTTTTGCGAATCTATTTCGATCTTTCTCTCTCGCTCTCTTTTTTTCCTTCTTTTCCTTCTTTATTAGCAGTTTTGTTGCCCACTTTATCGTCTTTATTTTGCATGGAATTGTGGCTGGCTAACTTTTTGGGAAAGGGACAAATTTAATTTTCAAAACGGAGTAGTATGTACTAAACAGCGAAATGTTACAGGTCTATCTTTGCTGACGTTGTTGCTTACCATTAACTTCAACTGAAAGCTAAATGGTGGGTTCAGGGAGAAATGTGTACATCGTTCCATATGGGGTCG